CTACAATAAGTACTTCTGTCTTGATGACAGCAAGACTGTAAACTCAGACAGGAAGCTTTTCACACTGTTTGGAAGGATGAAGGCAAGAGGGGTGTAAGTAAATGAACAGGATATTCTTTCTATATGTGAAAGTAACCCCAAAGCAAATCAGACTTTGAAATTACTAGTCATAATGTTTTTTTCTAAAATTACTAGTCATAACTTTTCTTTTATATTTAAGTCATATGTTGAACAGAAAAAATTAATCCATCTATTTTACAGTCACACACATCATGCTCTTTTTTTAATCCTACTTTACAGGTGGTCTTTACCCTGAATATCTAAAATTAAAATTATTAACTCCATTAGTATGAACATATTGCAGCCTTCTGCACATGCTCCAGCAAATGGTCATTAGCATTATGATACAGAGATGACTGACTAGCATGTATTTTATACCTCTCAGCCTTTATTCACTGAACATTAGAACATATCTGTTTTACTTGTAAAATTACTGTGTCCCATAATTAAGATCTGGTTTATACTTGCTTTGGAATACACCAGTGACTCTTTGCAGTGAACTCAGTGTACTACTATAACCTCTCTTGTTACAGATAAAAACATTATTCAGTTTGGGATCTAACATAAACAGGATCATTATGTTTGGAGAGTGTTCCAAAGCCTGCTATTCAAGCAATCTGTGACATATAAATAATGCAAGATCTCTTCTTTCTCCAAATGACTTCAGTTCAAGCCCAGACTCAGAAAGATGGAAGCCCAAATTTATACTGCCATTACAAAATTCAATCTATTTCTGGTTCTCCAGTTGAATTATGACTCAGAGTCTTCCACTGTTTTCTATTAGCACCAACCCACACACTCCCACCCTTTGCCAATCCATGCAGAAAATAATTTTATTTGTGAATATTACTGAGTTTTATTCTTATATTAAAATAGCACCAAATTCCAGTTAATCTGAAAAGCCTCTTTTTTTTCTTTTAAAGGAAAGTAAGGTAGAAAATTGGTCTTTTTTCCCTCCCTGGACCCCTGACCTTTGAACCACAACCTCCTTGCCACTAAAGCGTTCAACACCTCATTTAATCTCCCCTCATTGCATTGGCACAGCACTGGAAAAGGAAAAGGGAAAAAAAAAATAATCTGGGGACTTCATCAATTTTTCATGAATTTTCATTTAGGCCAAAGCCCCCTCTTACAGTGGTCGATAGATCAAGCTGCTGTCACTTATTTAACACCTGGGGCTACAGCTGCTATCTCTGGGGGCTGCCGCTGACGCAGGCTAGATCACAGGCAGCCCGAGTACCCTCATGCTCTTTCTCTTGCTTACATGTGGCGCCCCAGAGCTTGCAACTGAAATCCTAGCTACAGTTGCTATTGCAAATGTGTCTCCTGTTATTCCCACTGGAAAACTGCACCACAGAGGTTCAATCGTGTCAATTCATACATTGTGAAAAACTGTGCTTTTATTTTAAAACTTCTGGCTTTCAAATATGAAAGCAGTTTCATGAAAGAGCAAACTATTTCAAGCCTACTTCCCTTTCTAATATCCTCCCAAGAAAATCTGAGAATCAACATATTTCTAACAACGCCAACCCTTGTTCAATTTCAATTAAAAAAATGTAATACACAAAATCAAAGAAAGACGTTTTATTCTTTTGAATACAATTCTCTGTAGTTCTTTTAGTACTAGAACATTTATTTTTAATGATTTAACTATAAAACATACAAATACTACATCAGAATTTGCCACATACACAGTGGAAGAACAGTTTTGCTGCTAGTATTAACATTATTTTTCCCTCCTGAGTAAGCTCCCACTGAAAAAAAGTAACCCACACAAAGCACATCATGGATTACTGCATTAAAAGTATTATATAGAAAAAGTCATATTAGTCCTAAACTGTGCCTCCAAATAAAAACTCCTATCTCTTCTAAAATGTCTTCTGGAATAAAGACTTTCTAAATAAAGGCAAAAAATTCAAAAGCACATTCTATATGTCAGTGATGTTTTTAAAGTAACTTCCCAAATTACAGTTCTTCACATCTTCAGTGGCACACAGAAATTTTTCTGAGGACATAGATAAGCACAAAAATATCTGTCCTTGATTGTGGGTGCATGGTCTGAATAGGTGTGGATTTAAAAGCATACTTAAATGCTTTGGATGAGCTCGTACCTAAATTCATCATGTTTGGGAAAGGTGTTAAAATGATTGCATTCAAGATGGGCCACACTATGTTCTGAATCACTCTATGCCCCAACTGAATTTCACTTAAGTTTTATTTCTGTCTTTACATATAAATATGGATCCATCAGAAAACTTTCAATCCCGCTGCTTTTGTAGCAGATACTCATGGAGGAAGGGGGGGGGAAAAAAAAAAAAAAAAAAAAAAAAAAGGAAGGAAGTAAAAGAGAATGAGCCACAGTTAACAATGTTTATCATCTGAATGCATAAGCATGAACACACTTAACAGATACATAAAAACAATAAATATTTCTTCATAAATCATTCAAATGTTGCAAGTGCACATTATTGGCAACTGACAATTTAATAAGCAAAGTAAAACAATTACTGATTCTTTCACTAAAACAGCAGACTCAAGCATTTTAAACCGCTAAAAAGCAGCAGTTTGTCTCTAATGGCACAATCTGAGACCACCTACAGTCAGATAATAAGCCCAAACCCTGCTGTCAGCAACGGACAACCGTCCTTTTTCTGGTGATGAAAACAGCTTGGCTTAGTGTGGAAAGAGCAGTTTTCAACACCACTGCAGATAGCAGAAGTAAGACCCGACTGCGTGCGGCTGTCCCAGCTCCGGTGGACAGGGCTGCAGCATCCAGGCAACTCAACGGTTTTCAACAGCAGTCGAGAACAGGTGAATGAGGACTCACTGCTGACAAGCTGTCAGCAACAACTCATTTCCCTAGCGTGCAAATGGACTGCTACAGACCTGCCCATCTTCTTCGGTCCAGAAACACTGACCTTAAAAAAACAGTTAAAAGTCTTAAAATAACTGACCTCCGAAAGTCACTTGAAAACTTGATTTGAAACCAAAAATTGTATTAAAAAGTGTCTCAAAACAAAGGGAAACCAGGTAGTTTTGCCATCATCCTCCAAAGGATGTCTTTGATACATGTCAAGCAGTGACGTGTGCTTTTAAAACCAGTGAACATAAACCAGCAGAATCTCTAAAATTCAGTAAACAAGCAATGTACATATTATTTTAATTTTTCTTCTTTGATGAAGACTTCCCTGTAATCACAGCCACGGTATGGCTCAAGGAAAGTCAAAACACTGTAGAATTGCAACAGGAGTGCCTGCTTTAGGTTGACAAACCATTTAATTGGGGAATTCAGTCAGTTAAATTTCAAAGCTACGAAAATAGTAAAATAATCTGGTGTCAGGTACACGTTGCTATTGCAAAAACTTTGGCTATGGTTTCAGATCTCATGTTTCATGTTCTATGATCCTGCTCTAAAATATCTCTGACAAAGAAACATGATTTTAAAGTCTTCTGCTATCCACATACAGTTCATGCATGACCTGCCACCAGCTACAGTGGTTAAAACAGTAACTCCGGAGACTGGGGATGTTGAAATGAGTCTCTCAGTAGTCAATGAAGTAGGGATCAGTGAAAACTGATGAAATACAGAGCACAATTAAATTTCAAAATGATCAGTCACTTTGATGACTCAAGTATAACTTAAATGATCTTCCAAACTTTAACAGGAGATGTCTGAGTGATGACTTTATAGGCAGATACACATTTACTTGTGCCTTGAATGTGTGCCAAAATTGTTTTGATTTTTTGTTTGAAACAGTTCTGAATCTAGGTTATGACAAGTGAAAGGTAGTGAACAGGTCTGTTCTACTTGGCTTATACCACCATTTAAATATTTTAAAAATGGCATTTTCTGCAATTTCTCGGAAGACTGAATCCCCAAGATCACATCACATTAGCTATAAAAGTCTACAGACTGCATCAGGAATAAAATATTTCTCTTCTGTACCTTCCCCCCACCCCTTTAAACCAACATACCTTCTAATGTATACTTAAATCCATTCTTTGTCAACTAAGCAAAACAAGTTTGTGCTAAAGCCCTACTTCAGTCAAACACATTTAAGTGAAACTACTGTCAGAAGAACTGTGAGGGAAAAACTGAAGTCCAGCAAGGAAGAGCATTCATAAATCTAGTAAAATACACCTCTATGTGAAGAGACACAGCTACCCTTAGTTGATACTCTGAATAAAATTATTAGTTTATTCAACCCATATAACTAGCCAGAAAAAAATAACATGCAACACATTCTATGTTATGTATGATGAGCTTGTTTGCTGTGTGAATATAATGAATGTCTCTGCTAACTCTACTGGAAGCAGATCGTGCATGCTGGGTGGTCTCTGAAAGAGCTGTGATGACTGCTCTGTTAAGACAAAGAGAATCGATAAAGAATAAGACCGTTCAGGATGATTTGAGAAATGGCCAACAATTTCACTTGTCATTCACATAATGAATGAGGTCTATATCAAATTTATGACAAAGGAGCATATATTGAGGTTTCCAGCAGTACAGAACATGAGTCACCAAGAAGCTGTTTGCTTCTGTTGAGGTAACAGATGACTAGATAAAGAGAAACAGACAGTGTACCTTATATTAAATGATAGGTATATTTCCACATTAGTTTAAGTATAACCAACTGCAGTCATAATTCAAAAATTATATTATTCTTCAGAGGAAGATTAGCCTTTGTCCATGTTTGTGCCAATCATGATTATACATTTGCTAGAACCTTGTTTCAGTGTAAATCATGTATTTTGTATGGTCACTGCTACTGTATAAACGCACATAAAAATGCCTTGACTAATAGCTATAGCTAATGACAAAATGCCATACTTACCTACATTTGTTATCTCCCAGACTGCTGACTGTGTGCAAGTGCTGGATGACAGCATAAAAGCAACTATAAAGTTTTACACAGTGCTAATCATATAGAACTACTCACATGCCACTTCCAGAGATGCATTGCGACTCACAGCTTCTCCAAGGTAGTTCCTTGCTACACACACGTAACTTCCTTCATCAGGTTTACTCCTGCGTCCATGCACAATACGCAAGAAAAATAAAGATCCGCTGGGCAGCAGCATGCGATGGGAGCGTGGATCATCCTTGTCCGTTTCCACTCGCTCTCCATCCTTGTACCACTCAATAGTAGGAGTTGGCCGTCCTTCAGCTTTACAGTTCAGAGTTGTTGGCTCTCCTTTAGAGACTATCACATCTGAAGGATGCTCAACAATCCGTGGTGGAAAGTCTTCCTGGCGGAGACGGGATCCTAGAGAAAAAGAAAAGGAGAGTGGATGGAAAGAACAATTTATCTTAGCTTTAGGCTTCACAGAGTTCTCACAAGTTACTCTTTTAATGCCACAAAAATTTTCAAAAAGAAGAAAATATGAAAACCTGTACACATCTGATATTGTTTTGTCTGATATTTGAGATTGTATCAGACGCTTTCAAAGCTAAAAACCTGAGTTAGATACAAATATACACATCTAAGGCATTATCAAATCCATACCACATGCAAACCAGGCTTAAAGGAGGATCTCTTATACATATATGGATGATGATCTTTTGCCTGTTCCAATAACCTTTTTATTTACATTCATTTATAGATCCCTGGGTGCTTCCCAGATCCCAGATGAAGGGATTCCACTCATGGATACTGCTCTCCTATCCCTTCATCTGCCACACTCAATAAGTGGACATCCAAAACCACTGTGTCTTACCACCCACTGGTTAACAGCTCTTTCTAGTTTTATATGGATGCTTTGTATCCCTTTTCTACAAACAGCCCAGGTAAGAAAACAGAAGGAAAAAAATAATAGTCCACAAACAAACAAACAAAACCTCACAACTGAGACCTGAAAAGCATTCTTTCCTTTATAAATTTCTAGTACAACAGTTGTCAACTTTAACTGTTCAAAGTGTCTGAAAACATTCATAAGCTATATTTTTATTTTGAAATCTCAAATGTCAACTGCACTTTAGATTTTGTGGATTGCATGCATATACACACACACGTAAGTACAATATAGGCATACATGTGCCTGAAAGTGCATTGCAAACACCAGTGTCTCAGAAATCAATATAGGTCCATTTTGCTTTTTCTTCTCCCCACATTCATCCTTTTCTTCTCTCTGCATTCATCCTTTTCTTCACTTTGCTTTTTTGTGTCCATCATCTTATATCTGCAAACATACTTTCTAAGCCACTTGCAGTATCCCTAAATCCTACCAACACTGCGTCATAACTGTGGTTACATGGTTACTGACAGTTGAACATCTCATTTCTACATAGTGTATCTAACGAGATATGTGAAATTCTGGATTATCCCTGAGTACACTCCAGGAGCTCAGTCTGAGTATATCATACCTCAGAAGGAATATGGTTATACTTTTTCCACTTAAATTTTTTTTCAGTACTAAGGATTAAGTAAAGAAATTATTCCCTCTATCACTGGAAAGTAACAAAACCCAAAGCATCTTCTTTCAATTACTCACAAGAATACTGTTTTTCACTTTACAATACTGATGATAAATAAGGACTACTATGTATTGATAATATTAAAGTTTCTATAATACTAATTTTGTGCCCTCTACAATAGCAACTTTGTGCCTTGCCCTGTACTTTTCTGAGCAACTACTTTGACACATTGTTGTTCTGCCTTTATGTAGATCCTTAACACTCAGTTGCCTTCCCACTGCCTGAGGTAGGCAAGCAGCAGAGCCTGAACACTGTCCTCCACCTTCTCCAACAAAGCCTTACCCTGTCACTCAAGTTCTGGAATAAGGAAGAGAAATGCTGGTGGAGGGAAGACCCTATAAAAGTAAGATATATGGAAGAGATATGTGTTTGGTTCACCACAATGGAGAAAGTCCCAGTGCCAACCTTCCATTACAGCCTTTATCATGTAGTACAATTTCACTAAGTCACAGCATCCCAAATCTCCACTGAACTCTTGTCAAAAAAATTCAGTAGTATCACAACATGAGCCAAATTTTGCAATACCCTTTTCTGAAAAAGATTCTTTCACAAATGTTATGCTCCTCATTACAGCTATTAGGAGATAAATTGTAGAGATGAGTAAATGCAAGAACAGTGTCGCCCAAAAGAAAATAAAAGTCCACCACTCCCAACTTCAGCATCAATCATACATAGGTCATTACTACTTATTTAATTAGCCTATGTTAGCCCGACAAAATTTTTCTGCAACAAACGCATCACAGTAGTTCATGCCTCTATGTTGCTTCTCATAAAAATGAAGTCAGCTCTCCTAATTGCTAGCAGAAATCATCTTTTCTAGCATGGATCCTGAAAACCCTTTGAGTGGAGCTTGCCATGATAGTGCAATTGGACTGCACTTCTTAAATACAAGGTATATCAGCTTCTGCAGGTTAATGAAACATTTGTCTCAATTTTCCAATCAGAAGTTTTGCTGAGTCATAGAAAAGCAATTTAGCATCAGTAGCTTCATTATATTCTAATCATTACATATTTTAAAATATTGTCAATGCCTTATTTACTCCAAAAGTTATGAGGAAAGGATTAAGGATCCATTCTACAGAACGAATCCACCTTTGGACTTCAGTTACTAACACTCAGGTCATTAAACTAAGGCTTGCCATAGCAATAAAGTGTCATACCATTGCTATACAAATGGACGCTTCCAGCGGCTACCAGATTCTAATACCAGTATAGCAAAGGTATCCGTCATCTGTACTGACAGTACACAAAAAACCCCACAATTTATACCTGAAGACAGATAGACTTGGAGCACATTTAGAAATGAAAAATGTATTCTATTCTCCCTTCTACAGACAAAAAGACATTTAAAATGTAACAGGATAATTTGCAGTTAAAAAGTATCTCCAGACCATGACCCCATACACAACATTGAAAAAGACTGAAATCACCATTGTCCTGGGTTTGAGTGAGTGGTGGGGTTTTTTGGTAGCACGGAGAGGGCTATAGGGGTGGCCCCCTGTGAGAAGTTTCTCAAAGCTCCCCCAGCTCCAAGTCAGACCCACCTCTGCACCAAGGCCAAGACAATTAGCTATGCCTTTGCAATAACATATTGAAGAAGGGACCTGGGAGGAGCAGTTGCGACATCTATGTCAACACCAAGGTCAGTGGAGGAATGGAGGAGAAAAGGAGGTAGAGGTGTGCTGAAGCAGAGACCTCCCCTGTATCCTGTGGCAAGATGGCAAGGCAGCCCCCCTCCAACACCCATGGAGATCTACAGTGAAGTAGATGTCGACATATGGTCTGTCGGAGGCCCACAATGTCTCAGGTTCCAAAGGAGGCCAGGATCCTGTGGGAAGAAGCAGCCCCCGCTGTTGTAGTTCAGCACTGGGAGGATTGCAGCATGCAGAGGTGTCCCATGCCAGAGCAGCTCGGGAAGGGCTGCAGCCCATGGGAGGGACTCAAGTCAGATAAAATTTCTGGAGGACTGTCTCCTGTGAGAGGGGAACCACTCTGGAGGAGGGGCAAGAAGTTCCAGGAGTTCTCCCCTCCCCAGGACGGAAGAAGCAGCAGCACTGACTGTAACACCCATCCCCTGTTCCCTGTGCCGCTGGGGAGGAGGTAGAGATATCGGGAGCAACGCTGAGTCTGGGAAGAAGGAAGGGGTGGAAGAAGGTGTTTTCATGATCTGGTAATGCTTCTCACTGTACTACTCTGTCTGTTAAGAGTTGTTGTTGTTACTGTCTGTATTAAATTTACGTTATTTTTTTCTTCCCCTAAGGAGTCTGTCTTCTGCCCCTGACCATAATGGGTGATTCATCCCTCCCTGTCCTTGCCTCAAATCCCAAGCCTTTGCTTATTTTCTCATTCCCAGTGCTGGGGGGGAAGGGGTAAGTGAGCGGATGTGTGGGGCTCAGTTGCCCTCTGAGCGCAAACCACAACCACCATTGAAGTAAGTAATTAAAAATTTCACTGTACGTGGGACTAAAAAGCAAACTTCATACACTCGCTAGAGACATACGTAATACTCTCTAAACAAGTCAACCAACTTACTACATCATTGCTATTCTCAAAAGAAATAAAAATAGTTGTGTTAAGAAATTCCTACCAACAGCATCAGTAAGTATAGTAAAGCTGAGGTGTTTCTCAAACTTTAGAGGGACTTAAGTCAGAGAACAGATACGACTGAATTTTGATAAATGGTTAACAGTATAACAAAATAGTAGCAAAAAAACGCACATCAAAAATATTAGTTTTCTTATACACAAAGGTTTGTCGATAATGTTAAAACTCAAAGTAGCACATTCTACAGAGAACTACAGGCCATGTTCAATCCTTCGAATAGGGCTTTCTCCCATAAAAGAGTTAAACCCTCCACCTTATACAGCTCAGTTCAGAACCCCTCCACAGGTCATAACAGGACTAATCATTCCTTTACAATTCTGATGTTTATCACATAACTAATGTTCACTTCACTCTATTCTAATTAAGAAACTTGTGTACAAGAGAGGGTTGACATGTGGGCAGCAGAGACCATGACAATCAGCAAGGAGAAAGGCTCAGGCAGTGTTCTGAGAGGGGCTCATACCACGCATTCCTGTGATGGCTGGGTGTACCTTCAGCTATCTAGTGCTGCAAGTTATTTCCTTCAATGTGCACTTAAGAGGGGGGAAGAAAAACACACACAAGAAATCAATCACAGAGCACAGCAGACTCCCTCCTTCAAAACTGAACTGAGCATCAACAGCTATTCCAGAAGGGCACTCCGATTTAGAAAGAACAAGGAAAAATTAAAAACACAACTCCATTGCCTCTCTTCTGGCAGACACAGACGCTGTCTACATGCCAGAAAGTGACAGCCCAAATGGTGTTTTCCTAGATGAGTTTTGATTCTTCCACTATGACTCGCCCCCAACTCACCTCCCAATACTCTTAAGAATACAACCTAATTTAGAAGGAATAGAAAAATTATTAACCCCCTGATCTAACTGGTCAGAAGATGATACTTTTCCTTTTACTGGAGGGTGAGATGGAACCATGATCTACTCAAGATGATATGCAGTTGCACTGAAGCAGACAGCTGGTGTTGTATTCTGGACTTCCATTCTTCTCTCAAGGACTTCCCTTACAGGAATATCCCATGCATGCACAGGGTATGTGAATAACCCCAGAGTTTAAGAGTCCCTAAGTAGTCATTACTGTGATGGACTGCAATGACTTCAAATTAGCTTTTACATCCTGTTGGGAAAAAACACACCTCTGGAAGAAATCCTACAATAATCATGACTAATCAAAAGCTGCCATGAAGCGGCA